ACACACACACACACACACACACACACACACACACACATACACACACACACAGATTTGGACTCCATCCTAGGGAATTCTGGTTTGATTTATCTGAGGTTGACCATTAAGACTGATATATTAAAGACTGCTAGTTAGTATATGCTGGACTTGTGTATAGCCAGAAGAGCCAGTGGTGTGAACCTACTATGGATTGCCTAAAATTGTCCACAGTGGGGGTATTTGAACCACAGAAACCAGAGCCACACTCCTGCTTCAAAGAACCCATTGTTAAACATTCTTAGCACACTCTTGAAGATCCTGGGTCATTTTAGTGGGAACCAGAACATGAGTTATTCCCTCAGCAGGATCAATGTTCCTGAAGTGGAGTTACTGCCTTGTTTGGGGCAGAGGTCTCTGCAGGCTGACGGACTTAGCTCTAAGCACGTGGGAGCCATATTAAATATCAACTCAACCTTGAAGGGGTCATCTTTGCTATCCAACCTCAACTGGTGGTTGTGGGTAAGACATCCTTGCCATGGGCCTCCAGCTTCTTATCTGCCCAGTAGGAATAGGGCTATTTAATTCTCAGGATACCCATTGCTGTCACACCATAGAGACAGGCTCCATGAATGCCACTTTTTAAAAATACTCATTTTCCTGAATGGATTATAAAATATACAACCTGATCCCCACGCTCTTCTTTCTAGGAGCTGTTTCCCAAGTGAGCATGGCCATGGACTCTGAGAGGGTTTTGGTAGATGGACACTTGATGCCTGGCTGGGAAAAGCCAACATGAATGAGGACTTTGGTGGTTGAGCCCAGCTGGGCCCTGGGGGTGCTGGAGTTAAGTTTTCATTTGGAAATGACTCTTTCAACTAAGACTGCTTTTCTTGACACAAGAAAATCTGGGGCCTTCTCTACTAAAAGAAAAAAAAAACCCAAAACCAAGAGCTACATTAACTACAGTCTCACCCATGACAATTTCCTAAGACTAAAATCTTTACCACTCACTGTTTCATATTATCTCTTTTAACCTGAAAAGCAGCTCTTTTGCTCTCTTTCTAACCCAGACCCAGTATTTAGCAGGGTAATGGGATTTATGATTTTGTTTACATCAGTCTCCGTGGCGATCTACCATAAAAGATCAGTTGCTTGGCAACTTGGCATTGTCGCCCTTCAGTGGAGGGTGGAAGTTTTTGTCCCTCTGAAGCAAGGGCTTAAGGAATAATGAAAACTTCTGCTCATACTTCTCATGAATGCTTTTATTTTCTAGGTCAACCAAATAGTTTTTTTTTCCTTCAGGAAAGATTAATACACTTTTCTTTAAGTGATACACCGTAAAATGTTTCTTTAAGATTATCATGTCTGTGAATGTAGGACACCAGCTCAGGACATTTTTATTCTCTTCTTACTGTTGCAAAATTAGGTTTGAGCAACTCTAGGACTGTCATAATGGAGTAGGTCTCTTTCATTTACTGAAATTTTCCACACTCATTAGCAAATGCCTTTATTATTATTATTTTTAATGAGCTGCTATACACTCTGACTCACTTCTCACTTCTAGAAACCAGTTTCATTTGGTCTGCAGTTGACCCCTTTGATGATGGGGTCAATGTTAGCATAGGCCTAGAAGGCAAAAAAAAATAGGACTCCCCCAATTTTTCTCTATTGACTATAAGCATTTCTGCCAATGATCAAAGGGCCTGTTGTAAAACATGCAAATGCCCTTTCCTGACCTCTTTCTTAACACAGTAAGTATACATGAAGGGCCAAAGAACCTTAGTCATACAGATATTCATGAGCACAGTCCAAGCTGGAGTGTGGAAGCTGTGGTAAGGATAATGGCGCTGATGACAGTGGCTAGTTGACACTTGCTAAATTTTTGGAACAACAATTAGCTACATATTGTTGGCCAGGGGTCCATTTGCATCTGCCATAGCAGTTGAGACCCCTCTGTTCCCATCTTCCTCACTCACTAATTTCCCTCCACTATTATCTTTTAAGCAAAACTCAGCTCAGGTTTGTAGTGACTAATCTTCAACTGCTTTGGTGTGTTGGTCAGCTTTTCAAATAAACAAAATACTTTAAACAACCAACTGAAAAAAAGAGGTTTATTTTGGTTCAAAGTTTGGGAGAATTTAGTCTATGGTCAGTTGGTTACATTGCTTTTGGATCTCTGGTGAGGTAACCCATCGTGATGTTAGGGGTGTAGTAGAAGAATCTACTTACCTCAAGGATGCTGAAAGGCAAGGAAAGAGAGGAAAGAGCTGGGTCCCAATATACGTTCAAGAGCACACCTCCAATAACTTAATTTCCTCCCATTAGGCTCCACCTCTTAAAGCTTCTACCATCTACTAACTCTAAAGGCTGAAGACCAGTTTTTTGTTTTTCATTTTTGTGCCAGTCCTGGGGCTTGAACTCAGGGCCTGGATGCTGTCCCTGAACTTTTGTGCTTAAGGCTAGAGCTTACTACCACTTCCGTTTTTTTTTTGGGGGGGGGTAGTTAATTGGGGATAAGAGTTGCATGCACTTTTTTTTCCTTGCTGGCTTTGAACTGCAATCCTCAGATCTCAGCTAAGACTACAGTCATTAGCTACCACTTTTAACATATAAGCAACACTTTTCCAAGCCTAGGCCTAGCAATAGTTCATCCTTAACTTGGGCCAAATTTGAATTTATGACTTTTTTTCCCTCATCTGTGTGCTAATAACCTTCTTGAAGACACTGGGATTAAGGTGGTGATTGTGACTAACTTTAAATATATTAGGTTGGGTTGTTTCAGAACTTGCACGTGTGATTCACCTGGAAGCTTGTTAACTTGCAGAAGCCTGATCCCCAGGCCCAGAAAATGTGTCATCACCCATCCAGAGTGAGGCTTACAAATATATCCCTCTAAAAGTGTTGAGATGGCACCACTGGTCCCAGGGATTCCTGCATTAGCAGCACTGGTCTCATATTTTAGCTTGGTCCTTATTCTGAAGTTAGGATGCATTTCAGCTTCTAACATGGGATGTTTTGTGGGTTTAGCAAATGTTTTAATAATATACTTCATGATATCCAATTTTCCTGTTGTACTCTTTGGCAAGGACTTGGCAAATCTTACATGTGTGGAATATTTACAATTTACATGTATTATATTACATTTGTGGAGTGTTTTATAGTTTACATATATCACGTTCCATGCTTTTTTTCTTAGGAGGTAAGGTTTGGCCCATTGCATGAATTAAGAAGTAGGATCTTAAATGATGTTTTGCCAAGGGTCAAGGGGTATACAGAGGTGATGAGTTACATTTAAGATGCTAAGGCCTGTGGCTTGTTCATTCCACCTAGCTTCATGTCTCTTGCTTGCCTCTGTTTTCCACCACTGAGGAGTGGTCTAATACTGCAGCAAGTAGAACTCATGCTCTGTGAGGAAGACAGAGAACCAGGTTAGGAAGAGAATCCTGAAACAGAGGCAGAAAGCCCGAGTTCTGAATATTGCATTACCACTCATAGTCTGCCTATTAAATGGGGATAATACCATTTCAATCCCATCTGTGTCTGCAGGTTTGAACATGTGTCCTTGAATGAGCTGCTGACTCAGTGAGTAAAAGAAGGTACTGGAAGGACAGGGAGGCTACTGACCATGCTAATGGTAAATACTCCATGGAAAAAGATGCATAATTTTACGATTTTTTGTTTAACTTTGAAATACTCATGCCATTTGCAGAACACATCTTGCAGCGGAATTAAATCTTGGATCTAATATGTTCCTCTCATTTTGGAATATAAAACTCCACATGTTTCAGTCAGTTTACTATAACTGAATACCACAGACTGAGCCATTTATAACGAATAGACATTCTTTTAGATCACAGTTCTGGAGGCTGAGACATCCAGAAATCCTCTGGTGAGGACTCCCTGGTACATCATAGCCTGGCAACTGACCTCAAATGGTACGAGAGGCCATTCTTTGTCTTCATGTAGAACCACTAATGTCATCAGGGCAGTTCCAGCTTTATGACATCATCTAATCCTAATTATCTCCCAAAGCTTCACCTCCAAATACCATTGGCACATCAAATTAAAGATCAAAGAATGATAAAGCAAGACCTAACATAAAAGTGAATTCGAGTGAACTTTGGAGAGTGAATTATTATTTTTTTTAAAGGTAACACTTTTTGTTTTAATGATGCCAACGTTATAATTTTCAAATGCAGGGCACAGAAATATACAGAAAAGACTATAGCGACAGGTAGTCTACAGGAGAGCTCCCAGAGGGCATTTTTATATACATATATAATGTATATTAATTTCTCTCCCTCCACTTTAGACATTGGTCCATCTTCAATATTGAACTTTCTTTGAATCAAGAAGTCCCCCAAAAGATTAAAAAAATATCTCCAAGTTCACAAAACCTTAGGGAAATTTCTAGTGTGTTCTGCTAGGACAGAGGAGCCAAAAGACTATACGTATTATTATGTTATGATCAGAAGGAGGAACTGGTTAATCAGAATTGTAATGCCAAAATGGCTGCCAGGCAACAGGAATTAAACACAAATCACAAGGTTATGTTTCAGGCATAAAAACAGTGACTGGATTTCACTCAGTTCCAACTACTATTTGCAAAGCTACTTGAATTTTTCTGTTCATCTTCACTGTTGTTAAAGAATGACTGTTCTGATGACGGTGTAACTTCAGTTTTTCAAGTGCAGGATGATCTGAGCTCTTAATTTCTTGAAAAAGAAGTTTGGGAAGTTATATACATAGATTTCATTTAAATTATGCAGCAATCTTTTATTATTATTATTATTGTCCCAGATCTTGTTTAATGAGGATCGCTGTCATCAAATCAAGTACAGTATTTCACAACTATAAGAATGATAATCACTAGCAAAAGGATAACCGCAACCAAAGCCATGATGGCTTTTATCTTGCAGCCTCGCCAGCCACCACATCTGCCTTCGAAGTTGTTTCGATCTGTTGCTAAAAGCAGTCTCATTGTCCAATAAGCTTTCTGATTTGTCCCGCAGCATCTCGAGTCTCTTTCAATTCCCTTTGTAATTTTTTCTTGCATGACATCAATAACTTCATCCACCCGACTCTGCACATGCTTACTTTGATCATTTCTAGGTCCAAATCTTGGTCCAGATGGTCCCCTTCCTTTCGCTTTTCACCGAGCCAGTAACACCATCATCGTTGAGGTGGCGCTTGAACTTGGGGGGCATATTTCTACTCCCACTCTTCTATTTCCCACCAGAGGCAGTATTCACCCTGGGGCTCCCGAGGAGCCTGGGCGGGCGGAGGAAGGCGCGGGCACCGAGCGTGGAGGAGGCCGGGCAGGGCGACGGTGGGTGCAGACCCCCCAGAGTGAATTATTTTGAGGTGGGAGTCACATCCAGACCATACAAAGCACATTGTATATCATTTTGTTTTTCTTTCTTTGCAAAGGAGTTAAAGAAACTTGTGGATAAGCATGCTATGAACAGAGGTCAACCTGGAAATGGCTTTCAGGTGTATTTTTTAAAGCACTTACTCTGCACCCATCAAAACCACTGCATGAGGAGGCGAGGCCAAGGCTCAGAAGGTAACCTGGCAAGTTTGCATGTGAACCCTTGGATTTAGGGCTGTTTCAAAATTCCATTCTCTCTCTCTCTCTCTTCCTCTCTCTCTCTCTGTCTCTCTCTCTCTCTTCCCCAACCCCCATTAGTACTGGGTCTTGAACTCAGGGCTTCATGCTCTCCCTTGTGTTTTCACTAAAGGCTAGTTCTTTCTAGAGCCACAGTTCCACTTCTGACCTTTTTGTTAATAAAGAGTCTGCAGACTTTCCTGCCCAGGCTGGCTTTGAACCAGTACCCTCAGTTCTCATCCTCCTGAGTAGCTAGGATTGCAGGCACAAGCCACCAGTACCTGGCTTAAATCAAATTGTCTTAGCCATTCTGATTGGTCATTATCTGCCTTCAATCAAAAGCCAATATCTACCACTATTTTTTTTTTTTAATCTGAACTTGGAAAGAGAATCTTTGCCCTCTTTCCTACTCAAGCCTGGGCTATTCTCCAAACAGGTAATCCCAATTTCATGTTTCATTTCTCCTGTTTCAAGCCCCCCAAAGCTCATAGTGGGGCACATTCAAAGAAGGGACCCTTGACAAGAAGAAGGGGAAAGATGAGCCATTGATGTGTCAAATAAATAGCTCTTGTCTGGTGCACCCAAAGGCTAGCACCATTATTAGCCTATTGTATGGTTGGTTAAAACGTGAGTGTGTGTGTGTGTGATCTGTGGCTGATGAATTCTCTGGTGGTAGCATAGCCACTAAAGCAACTTAGGGCTGCGTAGGAACTTAAGGAACTCCTTGGGATGTTCCAGTGAAGTCTGTGAATGCTTTAACCTGTCATAATCTTGGAGTGCCTGCTTCAATGACTGCATGGTCTCCCGTCTCAGGTCTGATTTATTCTTGGGCCAACCCTTAATCAGAGTAACTGAAACCTTTCTGCCCTTACATCAGCTTGTGACAGAATCACAAGAGCAGCTGTGCTATTTGAGCTCCTTGAATGAGAAGGTACTCTGCAAAAGTAGCTATAATTAGCTACATTTTCCAGATGTGGAGACTGAGGCTTACAAAAGCTAGGAAGTATATGGCTAGGAAGTAAATGGCTAAGCAGAACATTGTGGCTCAGGCTTGTAATTCTGAGACCTGGAACATCTGTTTGAAGCCAGTGTACAACACTGTTGGTGGTCTCACTATGCAGCCCAGCTGTTCTTGAACTTTTTTTTTCTTGGGGGGGG